ACACACATACACACACAGTTAGAGATACAAATACACCCCCCCCCACACACAGTTAGAGATACACACACACACACACACACACACACACCGTTAGAGATACACACATACACACACGGTTAGAGATACAGATACACACACACGGTTAGAGATACACACACAGAGATACACACACACACACATACGCACGTGGATTCAGTGTTGTTTGGGTGTGATGTGTGCGTCTCACCTTTGCGCTCTTCCTCTCTGCTGCTGCTGTTGTTCTGCTGTCTGTAGAAACACACTCCATTAATGACGATAACTATAACAATAACTAATATCATAACTATAAGTAACTATAACTTTTATTACTATATGATCATATTACAGTAACATCAACTATTACAAACCATTACAATAATGATAACAATAACTATAACAATAACGATAACTAAAAATGACAATAACTACTATAACTATAACAATAACTATAAATGATAACTATCAAAATATAACAATATAATCGTTAATGTTATCATTACAGATGTGGCTATTGTTATTGTGGCTATAAAAGCATCTATACCAACGCACAATCATGTTCGGTTTATTCTAAGCACTGCAGTTTTGCCGCCTGTCGCTTTAAATGCTCAATCAAGTCAAATGTTTCTGATTGGCTGCCAATATTTTTATCGTTCATCAGGGTGAATAAAAAGCCGCTCTGAAAGTGATTCCCGTGATATCGTTCCTCTGTGTCCTTATTGTTACAGTTGTGGCATGAACTCTGCTGTTCTCTTAGCGCTCACAATTATAGTTATCTGGTAAAAACATGAGTTTTGTGGTAAAAACACGGGCCGATTTTTGCATTGGTCTGAACAAAAACAGCAGACGGGCTTATTGAAAATACACATTCATTCTCTGCCAGCAGGTGGCGCTTTCAGAATGGCAGAAATATAACTTTTCCCCGGTAACATCAGAACACAAAGCAGCAGCACTGGATTTTGAATCGTGCAGTGCTCATGTTTATTTAATCAAATCATAGCTTTTTGAAGTTTAATCATCATATTAAGCCATATCGCAATTCTGGTCTTTCTGTCCCCAAATTTAAGACCTCTTGAAATCATAATTAAGAGTTTCTTGTCGGGGTGTCACGATTCAATTTGATTCCAATTATCATGTCAACGATTCGATTCGATTTGATATCATAATGCATGACGATGCATCTCATCCTCAATTTTCAATATTACGGCACATGGTTACATTTTGATATTCATTTTATATTAAATTTATTTTGTGCAATTTTATTCAATTGCATAAGCAAGCTACTTTTTAAAATACCTACAAATTAATAATAAATCAAAACAATTGTTAAGAATTTAACCAACTAAATATAGCTTCAAAACATACAAGCAAATATAAAGTAATAAAGGGGGAAAAGACAATTACAAGTGATAAACAAAAAGTACTTTCAGTATCTGAGAGTGCTTTAAGTATCCGAAAGTTTACAGACAATCATAGTTATAGGTTTTTCTTTTTTCTCTCAGCATTACTGCCTTATTATTAGTGTTGAGATCATAGACAGTGGCAGCTTTAATAGGCTGCATTCACACTAAT